TGTAAGGCCTCTGCGAATATCGCACAAATGAACGATTGAATCTCCGCATTTTACCGGAAAAACTAAAGACTCTCCTGCCCAGCTATCTACAGTCGTAAAGAAGATCAATGATCAACAGGGCACCTAATTGTCTGGACCTGCTTCCGGTCAAGGCCTGGTCCTTATCCCTTAGGGGGATCTGAACTGCCTAAACCCTCACTCAAACTAGGATACAAACTATCTTTGTTTTACGGGCTTTCAGGGACCAGATGTGCAGTGTAACGTTGACCGGCTTCAGCATAAATAAACCAGCTAATAAACAACAGAACAAAGAACATGGTATCTGGAAATGTTCCAGCGACAGACTCGCCCGGACCCCATGACCGTTTAACGCATAAATTGATAATCCCGTCAACAAAAGAGACAATTTTATAGCTTCATGTCCGAGCGAGAAGAATGGCAGATCGACACTCGTGACATGGGCATGACCTCAGGACACCTCCCCTTTTCCCGCTGCATTCCGAAAAAGGGACGCATCCTTTTACTACTTTCAGAAAAGCACACGTTTCTCCTGTCACAGACAAAGGAGAGCCGGGCCTTTAAGGTCGGAGAAGATCTCCGCCTTTCAAGATGGGCTTGTCCAATGAGCAAAATGGAATTTCCGAGCGGGAGGTGGCAATTGCTGGAGGGTTTACGACCCTTTGTTCTCTAAGCATGGTAATTTGCAAATGGACTTAAATCGAAATTATTAACGATTCTCAGGGCCCTAATATATATTGCCTATGTACCACCATATAATATACACGCTTGTTTCGATCATAAGAAGGCAAATTCATAGATACTAAACAAGGTAAGATTACATATAGTGAAAAGGGAGGATCAGGAATGGGTCCTCTCACAAGCATACTAAAATAGTCTAAGAATATCACAGACAAAATACACAATGACAATAATATACTCAATGGCCTGAAGAAATATGTGTGTTCATTCAAATAACGGTTTTTCTATGAATTAACTAGAACACAGTCCATTTCTACTCTGCTTTTCCTTGGGACAAGAGTGGGCTATCCTTCTCACATTCCTGGGGGGTCATAAAACCAGTGATATCATGATTAGTTGTCATGGTGACCAGAGCGCCTGGTGTTCAGCAGACATCCTGGCATCCAGTTAATTGAGTGAGGGGACTGTGACGATTTGTTAACCTAATGAATAATTGATTTGTTAAATCAAATTAAAATTAGTGTGTCAGATTGGTCGAGACGCTACACCGCCTTGCAAGAAGTCGATTGGAAGATCGCGCCGTGGGACGGACGTGTGCCGCAGGTCAAAACCCTACTGCAACACAGATTCATAGTTGCTTCTCACTGTTTACTCTCTCGAGTGAAGGCTCTTTGCCACTTGCTCTCCCGAGTAAGGCCTTGTCGCCGTGTGGAGAGCACTCTAACTTGTGCTCACAGGCTGAACCATCAGGCGATCGACCATCTAAGAACTCAACTACTCCGTTGAAGCTTCGTAACTCTGCAGAACGCAAAGTCTTGCTAAAGCAGACTCTCTCAGACGAACTTCGAGGCTCCTCCGCAACCCGGCAACCCAACAATCCAACGAGGGCTCTCCCAAAAGGACGTCATCCAAACGTCATTCAGGCGTCAGATCAACAGCCAATCAGCAACGGAATCCCCATCCAGCAGCCACAAGGAATCATTCAGCTTTTCAGCTGTCACCCAAAACGCAAGTAAACAAACAAAATCTTATCTCTGCTGAACTGGTGCCGAGCTAATTTTAAGCAGTAAACATAAGCCAAATCTCTGCTTTGTGATTTTCTCAGGTTGCAAGTAAGAGAACTGTAGCGAATATCTTGCTAAAACTTTGGGCTTCCTCAGAACTCCGTTAACATCATTTTCATTCTTCAGAACTATATGTGTGTGTGTGTGTATGTGTATGTCTTAGCTTAGGTTAATGTAATTTAGAATAGCCAATAAATTTGTGTTTCATTTATAAAGAATCATTGTCTGGTGTCATATAATTTTAAAGTCAAACCTTGCCAAGATCACGTTACCTCGCTAGGAGCTTACAAATGATCATAATTGTATTGACCTGTGGCCAAGGAAAATACACATAGTCAGATTGTTAAAATACATGAACATTAACGTCTTGCTGGACCACCGTTGATAAGGTGTAAACTATTAAAATTTGAAATCAGTTCTAATCAGGTGGACTTCGAATTTTCAGATTCGAGTCCTTTCAAAACCTGAATGAATTAATAATAATTAATTCCCTAAGAAAAGTAATCAGACATTACATTGTATAACATCTCAATATTCTTCTGTTAAACATGCATTACTAGAGCTGTAATGCTGATGAAGTGGACTGATTCATTCATCAGTTGTTCCTCATTGAGATAATAACACCTGCAGCCATAGCATCAAACGCCTGGTGTAGTGTTTGGTGTCCAGCAGCAGTGTTTTTCTTTCAGCAGCTGTCCAGACGCCGCTTGGCTCTCATTGTTTCTATGTGTGCAGACGTTACAGCAGGTCCTGCAGAGTTTAGCTGCAGCCCTGATCAAACACAGCTGAAGCAGCTCATCACCAGAAGCTGTGTTTGATCAGGCTCGCTGCTACAGAAGTATAGTGTTATATCTGCAGAATTGCAGAGTTACACTGAGTGGCATTTTATCATATAACAGCTACTGAAACAGTGAGTACTTTGAGTGCAGTGAGTGTTTTTGTGGTAATTAAGTCATACATGTGACCCGCGCTGGCAAAATGAGTCAGAATGCTAAAATTTTCAAAAAGCGGTTATTTTTATTTCCATATTCTCCATTAAAATACCTTCAAAATGATATATGACTTGTTGGAATTGGACAAGAAATAAGCTACTCCCTTTAAAATCTTAAATGATTCCCTTTGAGCTAAATTATTATTGACCTGTTTACCTTACAGCCGTTTGAAGATGATAGAGTTTGTGCTTTCTAATAAAGAGTGTGTGAAAGAGAGAGAGAGTGTGTGTGTGTGTGTGTGTGGGGACTTAAACCTGAATACACACAGACTCATGGGGACTCGTGTCACGGTGGGGACCTAAATTGAGGTCCCCACGGGTAAACAAGCTTATAAATCACACAGAATGGAGTGTATTGAAAATCTGAAATAGCAGAAAGTCTCCTGTGAGGGGTAGGTTTAGGGGTAGTGTTGGTGTAGGGCAATAGAAAATACAGTCTGTACAGTATAAAAACCATTACGCCTATGGAGAGTCCCCAGTCCTGTGTGTGTGTGTGTGTGTGTTAGGGCTGTGCGATTAATCGAAATCGCGATTTGAGACGTTGCGATTTCCTAATCGCAAAGCCTGCGATATGGACGCGATATTACTTTGTTCCAGAGCATATGCATGATTTAAGCCTTGAGTGGCAGTCTTACTAACCAGTAGAGTGAGCGCACCTCCGTTCTCCCCAATCAGCACTGCTCTAGCCAACTGCGTAAACACCCACCATAAAAAAAAAAGAGTGGGATTATGGCGTCTACTGGGTCAGATCGATAGTTAGGCAAATTAAAACTAAAGAAAACCGTATGCAAGGTAAGCTTCGAAATGACAGACAACGAACAAAAAAGGTAATCTGCGAGAGCTGCGTCACAGCGCATATCAAAAGCTCCCTTCTAGGTTCTGTTTTCAGTACTGGAGAATAAAAGATACATTCTTAGATGTTTTTGTTAGTACGTGAACGCATACTGTGCTGCACATTATTGGCAATATTGAGCTGAAGCTTGACTTTGCACATTTAAAATCGCAAATCAAATTGCAATCGCAATATCCGAATCGCAAAATCGCAATTTTATATTTTCCCCCAAATCGCAGAGCCCTAGTGTGTGTGTGTGTGTGTGTGTGAGAGAGAGTGTGTGTGTGTGTGTGTGTGTGAGAGAGAGTGTGAGTGTGTGTGAGTGTGTGAGGGCTCACCTGCGGGTCACTGCTGCTGCTGCCGTTGGAGAAGGGCTCTGATGATCGCGGTGGCACGGCTGGAGGCTGCTTCTGCAGGACTGCGGTCTGAGGAGAGCCCTGCACGCTCCTGCGGTGACGCTCATCCACCTGCACACACACCAGCACAGAGTGACACACCAGTGCAGCTCTAAACACCTCACAACAAACACTCATGCTGCAGAGAGACACCGGCGCACAGCACAGACACCTCGATAATCTGAGCCAGAAATACTGCCATCCAGCTGTTTTAACAGATCAGTGCTTTCTAATAAAGAGAGCCAGTCTTTTTATGAATCACAAAGGAGCACGATTTCAGCTAAAAATATTCTATTTTCACAGTTCTACTGAAGAAACAGTCACCTGCATCTCGAATGGCCTGAGGATGAGAAAATTAACAGCACAATTACATTTTTGGCTGAACTATCCCTTTACTAAGAACTAAGCTGTTTTACTGTTCATAAACCGGTCACTTTTTACAGTAATGTTCACAAAAGTGCACCAGTTCTCTATTAATGTTAGTAAAGGGCTAACAAATCTGTGTGCTTCTGAATATTGATGACAGCTGCAGATACGCATGCCATCCTTTCAAACACAGAATACTGCTTTAACCCGAAATCAAGTCAGACGTCTCTCACCAGGAGCATGGCCTGCTCGTGAAGCAGCTGCTGCTGCAGGATCTCCAGGTGCCTCTGCTCCTCCTCCAGCTGCCGGCGGATGTACTCCTGTCACACACACACACACACACAGGTGAGCTCCAGCGCTCAGGCTGATGGACAGTGGGGATTGCACATATTTGACATGTGATCGTACAACTATCTCTCTTCTCTGTTTCCATTCAATAATGACTTATCACGCACAGCTCTGTAAACCAGTACATATATGTGACCCTGGACCACAAAACCAGTCTCTGAGTAGATCAGCTTTCCATTGATGTGTGGTTTGTTAGGATAGGACAATATTTGGCTGAGATACAACTATTTGAAAATCTGGAATCTGAGGGAGCAAAAAAATCTGAATATTGAGAAAATCATCTTTAAAGTTGTTCAAATGAAGTTCTTAGCAATGCATATTACTAATCAAAAATTAAGTTTTGATATATTTATGGTAGGAAACACACAAAATATCTTCATGGAACATGATCTTTACTTAATATCCTAATGATTTTTGGCGTAAAAGAGAAATGTATAATTGTGACCCATACAATGTATTGTTGGCTATTGCTACAAATATCCCCCAGCGACTTAACACTGCTTTTGTGCTCCGGGCTCACATATGAATCAATTAGCCCTACCAAGCTAGGGGATTTTTCCAAAAGGGTGTGTAAGGGGCAAAATGAACCAAACTGGCCCACCGTTTCCCTCCAGACGGGCCGCGAGTAGACACTCCTCAGCTCTGATGTCATCATTAGCTCCATTCGTTACTGTGCACTTTGTTTTATATAAAATTATGTTTTGAATGCAAAAGCATATCTGAACGTAAGACCTTTAGATATTTCTACAAAATACACATCATGCAGCTCTTAAAACTTTAAAGGGTTAGTTGACCCAAAAAATTAAAATCCTGTCATTAATTACTTATCCTCATGCCATTCCAAACCCGTAAGACCTTCATTCATCTTCAGAACACAAGTTAAGATATTATTGATAAAATCCGAGGTCTCCTAACAGAGTTCATGTTAACAAAAGCAACAGATAAGCGCTGCATTTTATTAATAAACAGCTAATGTCAAGATCAAAGACCGCAACAGGAGAGCGCTCGGCATCAGCACTGGAAAGATATGTTAGTCTCACTACTTCTAATGAAGATGATTGTGAGTTGAGCATCTGTAACTTACTTTCAGCTTCATTTGCATAAGTTAGTGTCGGCTTGCTGGAGATACTCAGCTACTCAACCGCGGCGAGGCGTGTTGCATTAGCGGTCATATCTGACTATAGCATGTCATATAGCCAATAAAACGCTCTCACACGTTTATTATTTTAATATTTTGGGAGGAGTAAAATTTGCATATGTGGTTTCAACAACCAGATGCATTTACACTGAAGTGGTTTGAGCGATCAGATTTATATCCGTCTTGAAAGAGTTTCGTGGAGCATTTACACCTGGTCTTTTCACCATCGGATAGTTATCCAATCAGAGAAAACGCATGAAGTGACCAGGTGTAAACAGGCCCATGTGACATCAGGGGTTCAACCATAATTTTATGAAACTTGTTGCACTGTTGTCTATGGAAAGTCAGAAAGCTCTTGGATTCATCAAATTATTTTAATTTGTGTTCCGAAGATGAACGAAAGGGGTGAGTACGACATGAGGGTAATTAATGACAATGATCATTTTTGTGTGAACATTTCCTTTAAGTAAAAGCGAAACACAATGTTTGGCTGAACACTAGTCTGTGGTGATGTAATGGTGCGGTGACTGTTGGGAACACAGCTCCTTCAGACAGCTGGCACACCTAAACCGATTACACTAGTCTTAAACACTTAGTCCTCTCATTTGTTTTCTTAAAGACTGGTCATAACTTCTTAAAGTCCATTAAAGATTCACATAGAAAAACTGCCTGGCAAGCTATTTGAATGTTTTTATGCAACTCAAGTTTTTTTTGAGGGGTGTTCATTATTACATCTAAAAATAAACCGAAGTTAGATATGGAATCGGCTGTAAATGTCTGCCTTTAGTATAACATTAGTGTAAGGTACCCACTGACAGCTTTAGTGTAGAGATTGAATATAATGTCAGAAATGCTGACATGTATTTGAAGTGTATGGAAGCAAACGGAAACTGAACTAATCCAGAGCGTGTGAATGAGACTGGGTTAGATTTGTGGAATCAGACCCAGCTGTAGTGCAGGAGCAGGTCTCTCAGATCACAGATCCATCACCCCCGAGGCGCTTCACTGCTTCACCTGCTCGCGGTCAGCCCTCCTCTTCTCCTCCTCTGCCCTTCGGCGCTCCTCCTCCTCTTTGCGCCTCCTCTCCATCTCCTCCAGGCGCCTCTTCTCCTCCTGCTCTCTCCTCCTCTGCTCTCGCTCCTGCTGCCTCCTCATCTCGCGCTCGCGTCTCTGTTGCTGCAGGACACGAGACGAACGCACAATCATTGCTGCTGTTTGCTTCTCACTGATCTTAGGCTGAACTCTGACATGTGCTGTAGTGTTTCAACATAAAAGAAAGAGGGTCGATACAGTTCCTTGTCATTCAGCAAACATGACAGCAGAGCTGTGAGATTGGTGAGGTTACGCACAGAACCGTGGCTGTAAACCCACAGAGAGAACACTGTTATTCCAGTTTTAATTCAACAAAAGAATGGCTTGTCATAGAAGTGACTGATTTTGCTTTCAAAACTGCACATTTGGTAGAGAGGTGAAGTATTCCGGCTACAGTATAGCATGCTCAGGTCGGATCAGTAGGTTCAGATTGTTAAAGACCTGTGACACACAAGTTTATGATCATGTGACCTCTGCTTTTTCAAGATGATTTGTGGATTGCACAGCCGAACACCGTGTCCTAACTACACGCGACGCCACAAGCGCCACAGAATCAATCAGATACCGCAGCCAATCAGAAGCGTGTGTGGGCGGAGCCTCTCTGGAAGCGCACCACACACTTGTTATGGAATACGCTCGTTGGTTCGCATCGAGTTCCCAGTTTTAACGTACATTTGCTTACATTTATTTTCAAGATCTGAGGTAAACTATGTTGTTGTTTTCAGTATGGCTATAAATGTCACGCAATATGATATTCAAACTCACATTAGACACGTTTAACTTTGAATAAAGCACATAATCTGTACCTGAGATGATCTACTGTCTACTAGTTTGTATGTTGTTGTTCCAGCCACGACAACGCGGAAATAGAACCCTTTTCTAGTTAGGACAAAAACTCAGATTAACATGGAAAAGATCGCGTGTAGTTAGGACACGTGTAAGAGCCAGTCGGAGATCTCTGTCTGACCTTTCCTTTGCTATGGCATGTTCAGCGTGTGTCGATGGAGGATCAGACGCATTTGTGCAGATTAGACATATTCTGTGATGTTACAAACTGGTGACTTGTATGGTTGAGTAATCAGCAGTGTCTGGCACTGATCACGTTTGCCATCTCAGTCAAAACAAGGCATTCTAGTGGTGTATATAGTTGTTCCCGGAAGCACAGGATGAGTGTGGTTTCTCACAGACCTCCTCCAGACGCCTCCTCTGCTCCTTCTGCTGCTCGATGCGCTTCTGTCGCTCGGCCAGCAGCTGCCGCTTGTACTCCTCCTGCTCGCGGAGCTGCTGCTCCTGGAGGAGCTGCTGGCGTCTCAGGGCCTCCGAGCGCTCCTTATTCTCCTGCTGCAGACGGATGAAGTCCCGCCGCAGAGTCGACTCGCCCGGCACGTTCACGATAGAGCTGCCACACACACAGTTACATACGGTTCACCTTTCAAGGGGTCATGCACTGACAAACCAAAATTCCATTGATCCTTTGACATATAAGAGGTCATTGTACTATAAAAACATCCTCTAGCATTCTCGTTAGTCTAAAACAGCTTATATTAAAGCCAGTCTGCCAAAACGACAGCTTGGAATGTTCTACTCTGTGATGTAACAGTGTGGATAAGCACCGCTTCTGCAGAATATCAACGCCTGATTCTACACCCCTGCCTGTTTAGCCCCCCCCCCCGATTCTACATCCCTGCCTGTTTAGCCCCCCCCCCCGATTCTACATCCCTGCCTGTTTAGCCCCCCCCCCCGATTCTACATCCCTGCCTGTTTAGCCCCCCCCCCCGATTCTACATCCCTGCCTGTTTAGCCCCCCCCCCCGATTCTACATCCCTGCCTGTTTAGCCCCCCCCCCCGATTCTACATCCCTGCCTGTTTAGCCCCCCCCCCCGATTCTACATCCCTGCCTGTTTAGCCCCCCCCCCCGATTCTACATCCCTGCCTGTTTAGCCCCCCCCCCCGATTCTACATCCCTGCCTGTTTAGCCCCCCCCCCCGATTCTACATCCCTGCCTGTTTAGCCCCCCCCCCCGATTCTACATCCCTGCCTGTTTAGCCCCCCCCCCCGATTCTACATCCCTGCCTGTTTAGCCCCCCCCCCCGATTCTACATCCCTGCCTGTTTAGCCCCCCCCCCCGATTCTACATCCCTGCCTGTTTAGCCCCCCCCCCCGATTCTACATCCCTGCCTGTTTAGCCCCCCCCCCCGATTCTACATCCCTGCCTGTTTAGCCCCCCCCCCCGATTCTACATCCCTGCCTGTTTAGCCCCCCCCCCCGATTCTACATCCCTGCCTGTTTAGCCCCCCCCCCCGATTCTACATCCCTGCCTGTTTAGCCCCCCCCCCCGATTCTACATCCCTGCCTGTTTAGCCCCCCCCCCCGATTCTACATCCCTGCCTGTTTAGCCCCCCCCCCCGATTCTACATCCCTGCCTGTTTAGCCCCCCCCCCCGATTCTACATCCCTGCCTGTTTAGCCCCCCCCCCCGATTCTACATCCCTGCCTGTTTAGCCCCCCCCCCCGATTCTACATCCCTGCCTGTTTAGCCCCGCCCACCGATTCTACATCACTGCCTGTTTAGCCCTGTTTTTTGGAATGTTCTACTCTGTGATGTAACAGTGTGGATAAGCACCGCTTCTGCAGAATATCAACGCCTGATTCTACACCCCTGCCTGTTTAGCCCCCGCCCACCGATTCTACACCACTGCCTGTTTAGCCCCCGCCCAACGATTCTACATCCCTGCCTGTTTAGCCCCCGCCCTAGCCCCCGCCCACCGATTCTACAGCACTGCCTGTTTAGCCCCCGCCCCCCGATTCTACATCCCTGCCTGTTTAGCCCCGCCCACCAATTCTAGAGCACTAGCGTGGATTTGTTTACCAAGGGTGTGCATTATTTTCTAATAATTCAACGGACCGAAGTCAATCATTCTGCTTATACTACAGTTGCCACACCTCAAGACATCGATCAGATGATATATTTCAAGGCATTTGCCCAGTTTTTGTACTTAAAACACTATCGTGAGTAGGATTAATTTCTTCCGCATCTCAAGCAACACCTCTTAATAACGGAGACTTGAGCTGTTGATAGCAGATTAATGCAGTTAATAACTTAGTAATCAGAGAGAGAGAGAGAGGGAGCGTGTGAGGGAGAGAGAGCATGTGCTTTCCATACATAATAATATGTAATCTTGTGGCAAAAACATGGAAATGATCAGTTGTTTTTATCCTATTGTTTACTATATTTATTTGTTTGGCCAGTGTCGTTGTGGGTTTTGGTTCTTCTGCTGTTTTTGGCTGTAAGGACCTTTGAAATAACTCAAATAATTTGGCGAAGTGATAATGGTCATGTAATGCGGTCAAGAGCTGCCTGGAACTACGTTCGCCGTGCGTTTCCCTGAAAATAACTGCACACCTCTGAACATTCATCAGCCAATCAGATTCAAGCATTCCACGACCCCCTAGTATAAGCGTTTGAACCTAAATCACATCAGCGTCCATCTGTGAAGGATGAAGGCTGTCAAACACACACAACTATTGGCCAATCACAGCAGTGGTGTTTACTTCAGTCTACAATCCTCCACAGCTATTCAAACAGAGCGTTCTGATGAGGGGGTCAGAAACAGCACAGAAAATAGCTTATGTTGTATTTTCTTAGAGAGAGAGACAGACAGATAGAGGTGTGAGGAAGAGAGACCTGTGAGTCTCAGAAACTAAATAAGGTTTGTCCAAGAAGCTGCTAGATTTGTCACTAGGTGCTCTTTTGGAAAAAAAAGTTGCTAAAGGTGTATGAAAAGTGGCTAAATCTAGTGACAAAGTTGTTAAGTTGGCGACACTGCATCTCTATTTCTCCAACTACGGGCGAGGCCACGGGTCAAACAGAGAATGTGCGCTGCATTAATAAGATTAGTGCTGTTAAAAAGAATTTGCGTTATTAACGTGTTAACTTTGACAGCCCTACAATGAGGACAAACACTTGTGATTTGATGTAGTGTGTGTGTGAGATACCTGGGCTCTCCCTCCTGCTCCTGAGCCTCCTCCTCCTCTTCCTCACTGCCGCTGTACTCGTACTCGGTCTCGTCTGCGGTCAGAGCACAAGCACGTCATTGACTCATAAACCCACAAGCGCTGTCGGTGTCATCGGCCTGCAGCAGAGCGGCCGTACCTTTCTCTCCGCGCTTCTTGCGGCAGCGGTCCAGGTGGTCTTTGAGCTGGATGCGCACCTGCCGCTCGTTGGGCTGGTCTCTGATGAAGGGGTGCTTCAGCAGCTGATCGGTGGGCGGCCGCTGCGTGTAGTTCTTCACCAGACAGCCCTCGATGAAGCTGAAGAACTTCTTAGACCTGTGAAGCACAGCAGAGCGAGTCCTCAGCCCTGACCTTTCACCCTCCACAGTAACTGCACCGCAGCAGATGAAGCTACTGACCATTTCTTGGACTTGAGTCTGGGCGGAGGATTTCTGGGTATGAGAAAGAGCGCTCGCATGGGATGCATATCGCACAATGCTGCAAAACACCAACACACACACTCATCAAACACAAGCGTCAACCCAGCACAGGGTATAATGACATCCAGTATACTCGAGCTTCAACACGAGAGAGACGGAGTAATGACACGTCACAATACTTCTACTGTGCTTTAAAGAGGTCATGACATGAGAAACCAACTTTACCTTCATCTTTTGACAGAAGAGGTCTTTGGATGCTTAATACATCCTGCAAGATTCATAACTTAAAATGTCCTCATCGTCAATAAAAAAAACATGTAATAACCCTCAGAATACGACTCGTTTTGGATCCGAGGGACAAGGTGATGTCAGCTGGGTGCAATCGTTTGCATAAACACGCCTCCTCAGCAAGACATCGACCAATAGTCTTCTTGTCGCCATAGGCCCTGCCCACTGGCATTCAGTCGCTAACGGCTGACACTTGATCACGCTGAACGAGAGTGTCGTGTCAAAAGCAAATAGAAATGACAATCACTGCGCTATCTTGTCTACACTGGATACAGTACACAGATAGTGAGGGGCGTTGATACGGTTTCCTATGCAGTGATGTTAGCCAATCACAACAGCGGCTGATTACTGACGAGCCTTAAAGTACACGCCCCTTAAAACAGGTCGGTTCAGACAGAGGGTTGAAAATAATCCTTTTCCCACATATGTATTTGTTATTTTGTGCAAAACAACTTTAATAGCATTATAAGTAAACCTCAAGGAACATATTAAAATAATTTAAAAAAATCCATGCCATGACCTCTTTAGCAGTTCTCTTTCATAATAAGGGTTTGTGTTTTCAATTTTCATCTTTAAATGTATTGATTTGCTGTAAAATGTACTAATGGTGGCACATAAGCTATTGTATGTCAGGAGAGTGTAAGAGAGCAGCAGCAGTGAAGGTGTGTGAGGACAGTACTCACGAGGAGCGCCCTCGGCCATCTCTATGGCAGTGATCCCACAGGACCACAGGTCGCTCTGAAACACAGCACAGCACAGCCGTCAGTCCCTGCGCTCTGGGCCTAGCACACACCAGCTCTGAGTATGCAGCTCTTACCCTGTAGTCGTACGTGGCGTCTGGGTTCTCGTCGCAGGCGATGACCTCGGGAGCCATCCAGTACGGCGTCCCGATGAAGGTGTTTCTGCGGCCCACGGTTCGATCCAGCTGAGCGCTGACGCCGAAGTCCACTGCGGAGCAACGAGAGAGAGCTCCTGAAACACTGCTGACAAACACCTGCTCCATCACCACGGTCTGCCTCAGACCTCAGCGGGAACACTTCGTCACTGATAAATGTGCGCTCAGTCTGCACTCTTTCACTTGTGTGCTGCCCTCCAAAAATAACTGAATATTATAGATGTGACATTATGATTTTCAGTATTAGCGCTGGTTGGACACTAGGTGGTGCTATGGGCTCATTTCATTAAACACTTTCCAACTAAACCATAAAATGAAACAAACAAAAGGAAATGACAGCATTATTATTGGATGAGTTCAGCACAAAGTGAACCACACAGAACTGAGTGCACATCTGGACTTCTTATTCTCGATATATAGTGATGAGCTCAGCTGCAGGATATTCCATCTCTCCATCAGAAGCATACACTGACGTTTATTACCACAACAAGCGCTAGTGTGTCCGTGTTCACGCTGAATACACACATGAGAGGAGGCTGGCACTGATGCAAGAGAGCAGTTTAACCCGACGCTCCCCCCTTTAAACCTTTCACACCGGGATCATTATTACTCTACACTGTGGCCAAACACTGCTCAGCAGGATTAGATGTGGTCTGTCAGAGATTTCCCTGACTGAGAACAGAAAACAAATCCTAGAAGCAGTAAGTGTTTTCCTGATGATTCTGTTGAAGGAAGAGTATTGTGTTCTTGTCTGACAGCAGGATCTCCAGCAGGAGCCTGTGACAGGAGCTCAAAGCACGGAGACCTGTGTTAACGCCTCACCTAGCTTGACCTCGGCATTCTCCGTCAGAAGCACGTTCTGGCCCTTGATGTCTCTGTGGATGACGTGATGAGCGTGCAGGTGAGCCAAACCCTGCCGAGAGAAAGCACACAGGTGTGTGAGAGACAGCACACCTCCGCTGCGGCATCAGTGTGTGTGAGCCTGGCTTCATACCCTGAGGATTTCTCTGGAGATGTATGCGATCCAGTCTTCCTTCAGGGAATTCCCTTTAGTGTTCTTCACAAGATCTGTGATCGAACCGGCTCCACAAAACTCCATCACCAGCTGCAAGAGAGACACACTGCTTTACTGGACACACACACACACGCATATATATAGACGTACACACACACACACACACACACATAGATGTATACATACAGACACACACACACACACACACATAGATGTATACAGACACACACACACACACACACACACACACACACAGAAGAATAGACACACACATACACACACACACACAGATGTATACACACAGACACCCACACACACATAGATTTATACAGACACACACACACACACACACAGATGTATACACACACACACACACACACACACACACATAGATGTATACAGATACACACACACCCACACACACATACATATAGACGTACACACACACACACATATAGTTATATACAGACACACACACACACACACACACACACAGATGTATACACACAGACACCCACACACACATAGATGTATACACACAGACACCCACACACAGAAGTATACAGACACACAAATACACACACACACAGAAGTATACAGACACACACATATAGAAGTATACACACAGACACCCACACACACATAGATGTATACACACAGACACCCACACACAGAAGTATACAGACACACAAATACACACACACACAGAAGTATACAGACACACACATATAGAAGTATACACACAGACACCCACACACACATAGATGTATACAGACACACACACACACACACACACACACAGATGTATACACACAGACACCCACACACACATAGATGTATACACACAGACACCCACACACAGAAGTATACAACACACACACACACACACACACACAGATGTATACAGACAAACACACACACACAATGTATAGACACACACACACACACAGATGTAGACACACACGCACATATAGATGTATAAAGACACACACACAGATGTATACACACAGACACCCACACATAGATGTATACAGACACACACATACACACAGAAGTATACAGACACACACACAGATGTATACACACAGACACCCCCACACACACACACACACACACACACATATAGATGTATACAGACACACACACAGATGTATACAGAGACACACACACACACAAATGTATACAGACACACACACAATATATAGACACACACACATAGATGTATAGACACAAACACACACACACACAGATGTAGACACACACACACGCATACAGACAGAAGTATAGACACACACACAAACACACAGATGTATAGACACACACACACACACACACACAGAGATGTATACAGACACACGCACACACAGACACAGATGTATACAGACACTCACACAGAAGTATACACACACACACACATAGATGTATACAGATACACACACACACCCACACACACATACATATAGACGTACACACACACACATATAGATGTATACAGACACACACACAGATGTATACACACAGACACCCACACACACATAGATGTATACACACAGACACCCACACACACATAGATGTATACACACAGACACCCACACACACATAGATGTATACACACAGACACCCACACACACATAGATGTATACACACAGACACCCACACACACATAGATGTATACACACAGACACCCACACACACATAGATGTATACACACAGACACCCACACACACATAGATGTATACACACAGACACCCACACACAGAAGTATAGACACACAAATACACACACACACAGAAGTATACAGACACATACACACACACATAGATGTATACACACAGACACCCACACACAGAAGTATAGACACACAAATACACACACACACAGAAGTATACAGACACACACATGTATACACACAGACACCCACACACACATAGATGTATACAGACATGTATACACACAGACACCCACACATAGATGTATACAGACACACACACAGATGTATACACACAGACACCCACACATAGATGTATACAGACACACACACAGATGTATACACACAGACACCCACACACACATAGATTTATACAGACACACACACACACACACACAGATGTATACACACACACACACACACATAGATGTATACAGATACACACACACCCACACACACACATATACATATAGACGTACACACACACACACACAGATGTATACAGACACACACACACACACAGATGTATACAGACAAACACACACACAATGTATAGACACACACACACACACACAGATGTAGACACACACGCACATATAGATGTATACAGACACTCACACAGAAGTATACACACACACACACACAGATGTCTACGGATACAGAACATGGATCTGAAGACGATCAGTTCTCAGCACACAGTGTGAAATACAGCTCTCATCTTGACACTGACGGTAATAAAGCACAAACCGACTCTCTCTGAACATCACATGCACAGGGGAGTGGTGTGTGGGGCAAGTCGTCTCAGGAAATATCATGGTCTCGTTCTCCAGACCATATGAACGTGTGACCTTCCGAGCATAACTGAAGCAGTCCTGCAGAAATCCACTGAGAACACATTAAGATCCTGTGTTTCACCGGACTGACTGAAACAGACCTCTTTTTGATTGGTCATTAACAAACCATCAGCACTCCTCCAGGTCTCTTCTTCTTTTCTTCAGATTGCAGTAAAGCACCTGTTTTGACACGTTTTATCTTCCCTAAAGTACAGGAATGAAGAGCTTTACATGCAGGCAATGGCTGTAGATGCAAGGAAAGTCAACTTGATATCAGTCTCAAGGCTGAAAGCTCACGTCTGTCTCGTGTGATGTTTATAATGTGTTTTAACATTAAACAATAAAAACAACATAAAACTGTTTTCACATCACCTACTACATGCTATCTGATCAACTGTTCAGTGCCTCGTGATTGTTGTGTTTAGTTTGGTGTTTTTAGTGCACTTCCCGTTGAGGTTGTAAGTGTGAGCACACTAGTTTATGCTCCTGATGTCAGGGTGTCTGCTATGCAGGAGCGAAGGACACAGAGGCAGGAGATTCATGAATAACAGTCTTTAATTATCCAAATAAGGGGGAACACCGGGCAGGCAGGAACACACATGCAGCACATAGCATTGACATTTAAAACTGGACAAGGGAACATAGCACAAACCACACTTTAAATACAGGATGAAACGAGGGTAATTGACAAGACACACCTGAATCAAATGAACACAATCAACGAGAGACAGAAAAACTGGGTCACTGAGAGCACATGGGGAGGAAAACATACACACAGACAGTCCAGGAGCATGACAGTTCGCCCCCCTCCCGGAGCACAACAGAACAACAAAGGGAGGGACAGGTGGGAACTTAGGAGGAGGCTCGGGTGGTGGACAGAAACCCAGGAGGAGGACGGCCAACAGAGTCCAGGGAGGAGACAACGGAGGGAGGAGCCAGGGTGGAGACAGGAGGGACTTGGAGCAGGCAGAGCCAGGCAGTACCCAGGCCACAGCCATGAAGACGACCCACGGTGGAGCCATGGTGGAGTAGGGGCTGACGACTCCAGGGGACCGACCAACTGCGGCGGAGCAAGTGGAGCAGTCCGAGGCAGAGATGGAGAGCCGATGAGCCAGGGCGACGGGGAGGATCGGAGGGCCAAGGTGGAGCAGATGGCTCAAGCGACCGAGGAGATGGTCTTCACTGCAGAACACAAAATCCAGGGGGCGTGGTTGGATCCAGATCCAACTCCTCCCACCTTACATATACCTAAACCTACCTGTCTCCACCCCTTGATCCCTAAACCCACCCATCTCCATCCCTAAACCTACCCAACTTCACCCCTAAACCTACCAATCTCCACCCCCTAGATGTGGATCCAACCACGCCCCCTGGATCTTGTGTTCTGCAGTGAGGGGCTACTGGCGACCAAGGCGGAGGCGGGGATCTGGAAGGCCGCGGTGGAGCCGGAGCGACAGAGGACCGAGGAGGAGCCGAAGGGAAGGAGGAGCCTGACAGAGCCGGAGGAGTGGAGTCCCGAGGCAACGGATGGTCGACGACAGACCAAGGCAGAGCCGGAGGTACGAGGGAGCCCGGCGGAGAGGAGGGAGCTAAGAGCCATGGTGGAGCCACTGGGTGGACAGGCCGAGGCGGAGGCAAGGGATTCTCCAGCCACACCGACGATGGAGACTGGCAGACACGCGGTACTCGCACCGAACAGATGGTGGGCTGAGGGTGAGCAGAGGGGCTGCCAGACGACAGCGGTGGAGGAGGCAGGAGCGGGCAGGTGGGTGGCTATCCGTGAGCCCCCGGGCCGATGTGCACTGCCCACACACACCAAATCGCGACTCCCATACCGGGAGCGTGTAAGACAGGGGAACAACAGGGCTAACAGACAGTTCAGGGCAGACTGGTAAGTCCGAGGAAGGTGGGAGGAAAATGGGCATGTCTGCATATATATCTGCCTTCCAGTATATTAAGTCCCCTTCAAAGTCCAGCAGTCCCAGATACACAATAAGCTCACCCTCAGCCATGGTGCAGTGGGCAGAGCTCCTCTCCGCACTCTCGCTGTCCACGGCCTTCTCCCTCGTGGCGAGCAATGTAGCTGGCTCTCACACCTGGTCTGATGTCACTTGAAGCTCGGGCTCCGCGGCGATCCTCAGCTCTGTCGTTCCGTGTGGCGGGCTCGGGCTTTGGCTCTGTGCAGCAAGGTGATGGTGGGCTGGGCTCTGAGTCTGGCTGTGCTCTGGATTGGGGGCCGGATGCTCTCCAGACACCGGATGATCAACGGGGCGATGGTAATTTGCCCCGATCCAGAAAAGTGAGTTCAGCGCTGCGTCGTCGAATGCAGTTAAAACGGCGAGTTGGCTGAACTTAACCACATACTCCAAGATGGGCAGGTCCTTACAGGCTAGGACTGTGAATTTAGCGACGAGGGGATCCATTGGGGGGGAAAAAACTAAACACGAAAACAAACGGAGGGGAACACGCAATATACTTCTTTTTGTTGGTCCAGTGTTCTGTCAGGGTGTCTGCTGTGCAGGAGTGAAGGACACGGAGACGCAGGAGATTCATGAATAACAGTCTTTAAATTATCCAAATAGGGGGCAGGCAGGAACACCACACGCAGCACATAGCATTGATGTTTAACACTGGACAAGGGAACATAGGGCAAACCACACTTTAAATACAGGACAAAACGAGGGTAATAGAAAAGACACACCTGAATCAAATGAACAATCAACGAGAGACAGAAACACTGGGTCACTGAGAGCACATGGGGAGGAAAACATACACACAGGCAGTCCAGAAGCATGACACCTGAAGGGCTCAGACACACCTGATGTTATTGTTCAGTTTGACTCATTAATGAAGACTGTGGTGCATCCGCTCTGAATCACACACACATGGGATCGGTGTGTATTGTTGTCAGTGGATGAACTCTGCTCAGATCTTCAGCTCCAGATTTTTTTCTCTTAATGACTGAAACATGTTACATTACACTCATTACACTTGAAATCTACGTGCTGTTGTTTAATTAAGTTTGTTGTCATTAATATTTCCAAAGGCGTGTGGTATCAGAAATCATTAGTCCCAGTGAGGACGGTGAGGTCCGAGACGGTCACTAGAGTGAACAGTGCTGTTTGAGTAGAATCTGATCTAGTTAGTATTTAACATGAACACAGATGAAACCCTTGTTGACCTGTGGGTCAGACATAGACAAATTAGACTGAGAGCGGATATCAGGTGAAATGTGAGGCAGGAGGAGGTTCCTGAGGAGTGTGTGTGAGTGTGTGTGTGTGTGTGAGACTGACCCACAGCTGGTCGTCGTGTCCTGGAGGACTCTTCTTGATGAAGGCGCCGTAATACGTGGCGATGTTTCTATGATGAGAGTATTTCTTCAGCATGTTAATCTCCAGCTTAATCTCCTCTTCTTCATCCTGAGCACACACACACACACACAGCAGGAGTTTGTCTGAGTACAGATGTGCAGTACTTGAGCTCAGTGCTCCTCCTGTTGTTTATGGATTCATACACTACCTTTCTTGACCATTTCATAATACTGTTTGATTCATTGGTTTTGTTGAACACACTGATGTGAAAAGCGTGGCTCTGTGAGCTATGTACACTTACTTCAGTCACGTCCATGACTTTGATGGCCGCCAGCTGCCCGGTTTTGACATGTCGACCCTGATCAGAGAAACAGAGCAAATCAGTTAGAGAAAAGAACACGATACGCACGCTAATGCATCTGTGTGCAGCTACATGAGCGTTAGCATGGATGACAGCAGGGTCAATGACGTTGAATGTGAACGGACGAGAGTTCCTTCACTGTGAACAGCACTGATCCTGACAGCTGAGGGAGCGTCTCGAGGACAGACTCTCGACTCTGACCTCGTGTGCTTCAGACACAGAGAAACTCACAAACAGCAGACCGCTTCGGTGTGTTCTGATCAGCGGCTCAGGCTGCTCTGCTCAAACGAAATGAATAGCTTCAACCAGAAGAGATAACGTTAAGAATATCTCACATCTGAGTCCATGAGATGGAGGAAAGAACGAGAAATATAACAAACAGCAGCAGCAGCACAAAACTAACTGACGCTAATGGAAGAACAATCACAAATTCACAGGACTGTGCGTTACTTCTCAACAACTCAACAGCCCATCATCAATTTTCTTGTCCTTTTCTGCAGGTTTTACACAAACCTTTATGTCTATTTGGCTTTCACAATTTCAGCTGTTCTCTTACCTGTGTTTCTGCTGTAAATAATGAGCAGTGAGGTTAAACTACATCAGATCTGAACTGATATACAGCAGAAATTGATGAGTTTCACGGTTATTTCCCTCTTTATTACTGTTTGCTGCTTTGAAAGGATCTGTATTGTATAAAGTTCTCTATAAATGACTATAACTTGTCCTGATGATGACGGGGTGTGTTAGCTGCTAAACTAGCATCGACTCATCATAACAGGCTGATTTCTTCAGAAGACTCGGCTCTGCTCGTCAAACTACAGACAGAATCAAGTTGCTCAGGTTTATCATCCTCTGCCATGACAAATCCACCGGCTGTGGCATTTCAACACATTAATTCAGCCTTACTGCTGGTCAGAACCTCTTTTATTATTATACTTTAATTCTTGCTGAATTTCATCTCTTTTTTTTTGACAAATCTCCATTCTCATATATCAGTTCTAGGTGGGGATTTTAACTGTGTGACGTGTCACTGGCTATATATTTATACTCAATAAAAACATACAGCACTTTAACATGTGCAGCAGTTATTATCAAAAGTATGGTGTTTGTTTTCATGCCTGATCTATCAGTGTTTCAAAGAGATTTGTGGTCATACATTTTATATCGTAGTGCTGGGCGGTATATCGGTTCATACCGAATACCGGTGTTTATTTTTGTTACGATATGAATTTTTAAATATACTGCAATACCAGTGTATGTCGCTTAAACAACTTTCGGAACGCGGCACGGCACGACACTGTTTGAGAGTGGTCCCTTTTAACTGTTGCACTGTGGTGAGCGCACAGCTGTATCAAAGAACTTGCGTGACGGTGAAGATGGACAACCCTCTACAATGCGAGTAAATCACTCTCATATGAGACTAAATCTTCACTCTGGGTGACAAACTGATCTCCTCCTCCTCCTCCTTCATCAACTCTAACAGCAGACGAATTTGCCACATTTTTCATTAATACAATTAAAACCATCAGTGCACAATTTGCCACACCACAATCTGTCAAGCACATCTTACCATCAAACATACACTCCTTCTCTTCACTCTCTGAGGCAGAAGTCTCCAAACTCATCCTTTCCAATCATCCTACTACTTGTCCACTTGATCCTATTCCATCTCATTTCCTTCAGGCCATTTCTCCTGCAGTTGTACCTGCACTCACTCACATCATTAACACATCCCTTCACACTGGTGTTTTTCCCTCAACATTTAAACAGGCTGGTATAACCCCACTGCTTAAGAAACCCACTCTTAACCCAACTCTTTTAGAGAACTACAGACCGGTTTCCCTTCTCCCTTTCATTGCAAAAACACTTGAACGAGTTGTGTTCAACCAAGTCTCGAACAACCTCCTCAACAGCAACCAGTCTGGTTTCAGAAGTGGACATTCGACCGAGACTGCCTTGCTCTCAGTTGTTGAAGCCCTAAGACTGGCAAGAGCGGATTCCAAATCTTCAATAGGCATGAGCCGATTACGGGTTTCAAGGTATATCGCAATTTGAAAATCTCACGGTTTCAAAACCGCTAATATTTTCCGTTATACCGCTCCTGCGGTATGTGCTGTTTTTCATGTCTCCTCAAAGACTGAAAGTGTAGGAATCCCTCAGGTTGAGTGCAGTGTAGAGAGTAACACGAGTCTCCTCCTGCTGTTGGTGCATGCAAGCAGTCAGTCACGTGTGTGTAGGACGGCCGAACTTAAGTAGCTTCTCCTGGAACTTACGCAATCAGCAACCGGACGTTTTTTTGTCTTATTGCAAGCAACTCGTCTCTGTTCTGGACTTGCACAAACTGCGCTGCAATGCAATCGTCTTCCAAAATGTCATGTATGTGAAAATATGAAGTCTGTAAACGCCCGTTAACACAGGCCAGAGACATTGAAGACGGACGCACAGAGAAATACTGTAGCTGGCAGATCACTCACTGTTCATGATGCACGAACTGTCGGAAGAAAATCCTCAATATTGATTTGGGGGTTTATATGAATGTGTTTCTGAGGGGAACTGATTGTCTTCAGAAAAGTTTACGTGGTATTTTCTTTTAATCTCGTCTCTGTATAGTTCATATTAAAGCAGTGCTTTGTTTACGGCGGTAACCAAGGAAACGCTGTATCTGCTGCTCCAGAAGCGCCTCCTGCTGGCAGAGAGTGAATCTGCATCTCATTCAGAGCTGCTGCTGTTTGCTTCGTTCAGGCATGTAGTATCATTTCACAAAGCTAGTCAGAACATTCTGTTTTTGCTTCAGATTGGGTTATTATTAAATCAAATTATGTATATGAAATTATATAACTAAATGATATGAAATTATATAAATGATATGTATATGAATTATATAACTAAAATTAAATAACTGTAATTACAGATTTAGGTTAAATAAAGATGTCAGTCTTTATTTTTCTTCTTTTTAGGAAACAAATCAAAGAAAAATAAACAAATTCTACTGTTCCTAATATTCTGTATGTTGCTCAAAAACAAAATATATAGTGTTCAGCGGAAATTTTTTTTTTTTTTACCCAGTCATTTAAAAATAACACATATAGAGCTGTAACGACAATACCGTGATACTGTGAAACCGTGATATTTTTGGTTAAGGTTATCATACTGTCAAAATCTCATACCGGCCCATGCCTAGTGTGTGTGTTAGGGCTGTCAACATTTTTTTTGAATTTCGAATATTCGTCGAATTAAAAAACAAACAAAAAAAATCCACATTCGAATGCAAAAACATTGCATTTGAATTTTAGGTCTGCATCAGCCGTCAGGCAGCCTATCAGTGGCGCGAAATGCGATGACAATGTAAGTGGCATTGCATTTTAATGCTTTTGTTAGCCTATCCAGTTGAACCCACTAGATGCGGCGCTGCTACGTTGTTCATTCAATATATTGCAGAAAACGAGAGCATCATTGTGGAGATGTTGTGTTTCAAAACTGAAACCAAGCCGTTCACACAGAACGCATATTTATCACATTTTCTAGAGGGACATCTATCAGAGTTGCACTCGCGTCTGACACAAGAGAGCGGCATGTTTAGAAAGCCATGTAAAATTAATGTAAATTCAACTTTTAAAAAACATGTCTCAAGACTTTATGGCGGTTTTTCCCCATCCCACTGTATCTCATGTTTTTAAATGAAGAAAGTAGCCTACTCTTTGTGATTGGTTTTCGGTCCTTTGTATTAAACTATACATACATGCATGGTGCTGTTTTTTTTCTAATTGTTTAAGCAACTTTATTAATTATATATGGTTTCTAAACATAATTTTAAACATTATGCACTTTTTTTCAAGGATAGTGGTGTTATTTTATTACGCTTTGAAGAAACGTGCATAATATTTTGCGTGATGCGCCCTCTTGTGGCCTCAGGAGAGAAGCCAAAAGCTTTTTTCCCCCTAACTGAAAGTATGCCTTTTAAATTCGAATATAATTCGAATTTTGATAATATTAAAGTAGAAAATTAGAATTGAGTTTTTCAGTCATTTTGACAGCCCTAGTGTGTGTGTTGCGACAGTCTTCTGCTCACCAGACACATTCCTTTGACTATGTTTTGACTTTTTTAATTGGGCCCTTTCAGCTTTCAGACGGGGCTCAGTTGAGATTTCACTGCAGTTTTTGCCTCACAGGCTTCATAGTGTTTGATCACCCAAACCAGGCTCACACTTTTATATGTTCAGTCATGGTGATGAGAGATGTGTTTGTAGTCTGAGGGATCCAACTCATTACTTTGATTGTGTTTGATGGTTTCATTAAGGTAGCTGATTTTCTGTCTGGAATAAGAAATTTCTTCTGACTCGTGTAGAGTAGTTTGATCTACCGTTATTGGCCTTGAGAAGAGATTCTCAAACTCCATAATGCTTTGCCTGAAGCTGCTTTAAAGAGGATGAGCCCGGGGCGTTTTTGGAACTGCATATTTGGCTTCACTTTTAGTTCAGTATTTTGAAAACTGTAGAGAACACGAGGATCTGCTTTGCTGTTACACCCACTGATTAGTGTGGTCATGTAGGAGCTGAATGTTTTCCTTGGTGTGTTGTAGGTACTTTAGTATGTATGTGTGGTTTTGAGGACTGTGTATATTTGCATTTGTCATTGAGTCATTGTTGAGGAATGCACCGTGTGTCCTAGACTGAAACCTGGAGTCCGAAGAAACCCAATGATTTTCTGTTGACACTGAGGAGCAAATATATGATGGGATTAATAATTCTGGACAGGGTTGATTAGCGAGAACTAATGGTCCCGTAATGATGCCTTTTATGAGATGACTTTGGAAAGAAATATCACAGCTGAACTGGGAACTTGTCCCAACGGTAGCACGCACCAGGCCTGCACAGTTGAAGAGGAAGTGGTTTCCTTCTGGCCTTTGATATAGTCTCGTTGGTCACAGGCACTTTAGTCAAGCAGAGCCATAGTGTAAAAAAAAGTTTTTTTCGGGTGGGGCCGTATGGAGTTA